CGTCCAACACGTGGCCCAAGTATAAGACTTGCGTCTTGGCCCACTCGCACTTCTTCGCGTTGATCTTGAAGTTAGCCTCTCTAAGCTCCAAGACGTGCCTCAGATGACCCTGGTGCTCCTGGAGGGTCTTACTATAGACTAGGATATCATCTAAGTAGACTACTACAAATTTATCTAACCATGGTCTAAACAGGTCATTCATACAACGCTGAAAAGTAGTTGGCGCGTTGGTTAGTCCAAAGGGCATCACTATAAACTCATAATGCCCATATCTAGTCCGGAACGCAGTCTTGTACTGATCATCAGGATGAACCTCGATCTGATGGCAATCGGACTTTAAGTCTATCTTAGAGAAATACTTACAACCCTGCACCCGATCTAAAAGATCGTCTATCCTGGGCAGCGGCTCAGCATTCTTTACGGTGATCGCATTTAATCCCCTATAGTCTATACACATTCTCAGCTCTCCTTCCTTCTTGGGGACAAACAAAACAGGTGCTCCAAAAGGAGACGAACTGGGCCTGATCCAACCTTTCTCAAGGAGTTCCTCTAACTGCTTGCGGAGCTCCTCTAACTCTCTAGGGGACATCCTGTAGACTGCACCCTTAGGAGTTTTACTGCCAGGCTCTATCTCTATCCTGTGCTGGATGGGTCGCGGCACTACTCCTGTCGGCGACTCAGTCAAGTCTTTGAATTCTTCCAGCAGCTTGGCAATTGTTGGGTCTGTGGAACTATCCTTTTCTTGGGCCTCAGTGACAGGTCTGACATACACCACAAAGACCTGTTCCTCTAACTGCTCCTTTCTTACTAATCGCGCGAACGCGGGAGCACTGAGACAACAATGCGCCAAGGTGTTATCTACACCGGACGCATGGAACAGGCGAGCAGTCTTCACTTCGCCTGACGGACTAGGGAGCCTACACTCATGCTCTCTCAGGTGGAGTGTGGCCCCTGCTGCCTCTCCCCAATCCATTCCTAACACTACATCGAAAGGAAGGTAATTTTGTACGAGGAGAGTCAGGGAATGGAGAACTTTCTCCACCTTCCCATCCTTTTCTAGGCGAAAGTACGCTTGGACTCCCTCTACATAGTCCTCAACGCGCATTGTGCGGTTGTCTGCGAGAACACTGACTATAGGGTTGATTAACTTCTGAACCTTTAGTCCTAGCCTCAGCTTCTTCAGCGCCCTACGACTGATATAACTACGGGTAGCCCCTGAGTCTATAAGGGCCCCTACCCGACTCCTAAACACCTCTACATCTACCAAAATCAGTTGTCCTTTACTCTCCTTCTTCATTTTGGCCCAGGCTGGCATCCTCTCCTTTAATTCTTCTGCCACACCTGTGAGGGACGTGCCTAAAGAGACGCTTGCACAGGCGGTCTCTGGACAGCTATCTAGGCACGGGCCTGCAACCTCTGTCATAGGCTCATGTGGGTTGGGAGTGTCCTGTTCGCGCGCGCTCACTTTTCCACATGGCCTTGAAGTAAGGGCAGTTGCGACCCCTACTGGCGGCTGCCTTTTGACTGCTGAGCAGCCCAACGGGCCTGTCTATACTTAGGACAAAATTTAATTACGTGCGCCGGGTCACCACAAAATACGCACTGACCCATGTTCACGCGTTCCTGCCATAATTGTCGGTCCAAGCCCAAATCTTCCCAGGGCCTGCCCTGC